TCTTTACAAAACCGACACTAAAACCAAGTATATCCGTTGAAATAACTTGTCCTTCTTCACAGTTCAAGACGTGTTTTCCTGCTGTACAGTTTAGCGTTGGTGGGTCATAGCAGTAAGTTGCTATTTCTAAAAATAAAAATATAAACAATAAATAGTAATTAGATCGCTTCACAATTACTGTCACGGCGTTTACTAAACAACAGAGCAATTTGATTGGTTGGATTATTTCTGAACTAATTGTTTTTAAAGAGTTTGCCAGATTCAAATGCATTGAGTCGCAGTATAAATAATAACATTAGTAAGCTAAATTCTATAATAGTTTCAAATACAATAGTTTATACGTGTATGTATCTTCAATTCAAATTGCGAGAAAAATAAAATAAAATAAAATAAAATATTATGGCGTTATAAATTATTAAAATTTTTTCCAAATGCCAAGTAAAGGTTTGAAACAAAATAAAACAACTTACCTCCATTGACCAGCGAAATCAAAAGACAGTAAAGATATATCGTTGTTCTCATTTTTTTAAAAACTCCTTGTCGTGTTTTATTTATCAGTTTGTTAAGGTAAGTATTAAACAAATTAAATCATGAAAACAATAAATGAAAACATTATATGAAATAAGATTGTGCTATTTGTTGATTAATTTATACAAATTATCTTTCTATCTCCACTGAATTCATTCCACTTTCTTTTATATGTTATTCTAAACAGGAAATCTATTAATCTTCATCTCGAAAAACAAAATATGTGTGTGAAATCCAAATGTGTAATTTTGTTTCCAATTATTGAAAGAAACGACATTTTTGGTCGCAATCACTTACAGAACTACTTTAAACTTAAAATGTTGATTATTTCTGTTGTTAAAACTGTACCACCAGATAACACAAAATCAAAATGTTTCATCCTAGCACAAACCGATTTAATGAAAATTCAAATCGATTCAAGCAAGTCCTGCCACAAAAAATCGAACTACCCTTTTAAATTTTCAATTGTTTGTTAAATACTTCCTTGATCGAAAATCTTTCCACAGTGTTAGGGCATATTTATCGTACTCTAATTCAGGAGTACATATGCCATTATATTAAGGCATATTCGGCGACAATTCATTTTAACACAAGTTCTCCGTTGTCTACAACAAACAAACCTAGTTCTCATTTGTCTACCACGAACATACCAAGTTCTCAGTTGTCTATCACAAACATACCAAGTTCTAAATTATCATGACAAACATACCAACATCTCAGTTGCCTACCACAAACATACCACGTTCTCATTTGCTTACTACGAACATACCAAGTTCTCAGTTGTCTACAACAAACCTACCAAGTTCTCATTTGTCTACTATATACGAACATACAAAGTTCTCAGTTATCTACCACTAGCATATGGCCAACGTCTCGAAAATCTTCAGCTGAAAGAAGAGCTAAGAGTTTCTATAAATGTTACGCATAGTCAGACTTTGTCACTCGTGTTTACACAATTTTTACAGCATTTACAGCATGCATGGCCGCTTATTGGTCATAAATACGCCTCTGGGTTAAACTGACTTTCAG